TCTAATAAGGAAACGGTTCCTGATTGTTGTGATGAGGTCAGATTTCTCGGTGAGGGCAGAGATGGAGGTTTAGGTGAAGCATAACCACAACATTTCTCAGCGTATTTCCCTCCCCACTGACTTCCAAATATTAAGGGCTCAACTGATGTGTGTGTGTGTGTGTGTGAGTGTGATGACAAAACCCCTCATTAGCTTTGAAAAATATCCTTGATCAAATAACAGATCCACAAGGCTTTTGTTCAAATGCATTGAGATCAATTTGTTCAATCTCAGGTAGCGATCATCATTTTTAAAAACAAAAGTATGGCTGGATAAGAAGTGAACTGAGGTTTGAACAGGCTGAGGCGGTGCGGTTGAGAACGGTCTGCACTTTTGAGCTGACAGGGCAGGAAGACAGACTCTAGAGCACTAATTCTCATCCCAATGACTTAAACATGTCCTCTGTCCTCAACTCACCATCCCATAAATTCCTGTCCTTCAGTCAAACATGCAACATTTGTTTAATGATGTTAGTCAGGCATGTCCTACTAGTCATCAACCTCAGAGAGCGAAACAGAGAGACCAAGATGGATGAAGAGGGGAAGTAAAAAAAGAAGGGTAGCGGTTGTAACATCTGCACTGCTTGGGTTTAAAAAGGCCTTATTTATTTTTGGTGATCAGAGTCATATACTCAGAAGACAATGATTCTCATTTAGAGTCTCTTGGTTTATAGTCTGTTGAAGTAAACTGCACTTAGCCATACGTGATAGACTCAACACAGGAGAATCCAGTATGACAAATACGGAGCCACAGGAAATCAGCTATAATCAAGCTCGATATTGATTCAAACATTCAAATATTCAGTTCCGTTTGTCTCCTACTTCACATTATTTAAATACTGTAGAAAACTGCAGATGTGATTTCTTGCATGGTGTGAGCAGAGATATTGCACTGGGTGGTTGGTTATCATCACAAGCGTTATAGGCTGGCATAATAAAACTTAACTTAAGCTTTCACTGTAATAATTACTGCAATGTCTTCAGATCCAATTATATGATGTTAAATTATTAGTCTAAGTGGAAACATACATCATTAATGAATTTACTGTCGCAATTCAGGAATATTGAGAATATTAAAACCATAAGTCCTGCTTTGAATTCAGTCTTCCACATATTCTGTAGCAGAGGCTGTTCTCTGTGAAACATGCTGTAACATGACAGATTACCTAGAATGCACTGATTTTGGTTGATCGGCAAAAGTAATTTTCACAAAGAGCTAAAAATTAACATTTAATTAAATTTTGGACCTACTCACCAACATGCAAACACTGTGATATATTTTAGCTTTAAAAAGTGTGAATTCATTAAAACGCAGCTTTGGGGCACTATTGATTTTGTGTCTACAATAATTGCAGGACATATTTATCAAATGAAAAAAAAAAAATTGTATTATTATTATAAAATATTTTATTATAATATTATATAAATATATGTATTCTATATTTATATAATAATATATAATATATAATATTAATATAATATTATTAATATATAATAATATACAAATAGTATTATATTACTGTTATAACAAAAATATTATTATTATATAATAGTATATTATTATTATAAAACTTTCACGTTTTGCCTCGTTCCCATAAAACTGAGAATATCCAACCTTGTGCCTGTAAACCATTTAAATTTGTTGCTCAAAAGACTACTAACATTCTGTCCTATCTATTCTTATGCTCTGCAAAAGGTAAACACTGTAATCTATAATGAAAATGATGGATGTGTACCCTCTGAATCAGGAATCTTGTTCACAAATGAGGTTGGAAGCAAACTATGTATCTTCACACATTTAGAATAACAGCCAGGCCCACTGAAACAAACCCATGTTGCTAATCTAAATTAACTGATTTTATTTAGTCATAAGAATAAAGGATAGTTGACTTCACTCATCTACAGGTTACACTAACTAAAGTCAAGAATCAGGTTCAGATCAGGTAAAAAATATCTCCTTAAAGGGGTCCTATTATGCTCTTTTACAATGTCTTGAATTTGTTTTGGGGGTGTACTAGAACATG